TACACCAATATTATGAACTGAGCCTTTGAACTAGCCAATCTATTTTAAATATTACATTAATATTACGTAAATCATACAAATAATAGTTTGCGCAACAACTTTTTCACAACAAAAAAAAATTATACAAACAAGGAAACACCAACGATCAATACACCAATAATATGAATTAGCCAATCAACATTAACCAATATTGTTTAAACTGCAATTAACATTCATTAAAAACATCTATATTTCAACAAAACTCCAAAAGATTCAAATGTATACTTGTTTAAACAAAAAAAACACCAATGTTAATTTTGAGCCGCAAATTTGGGGTATTTTTTTTTGTTATACCCCGATGTACCACATTTATTATGAGTGACTTTACACCTTTTTAAATTTTCCTTCGTTGAATCTCTTCTTACGATCGTTATTTGATGGTCTACCTAGTTGTTTTCTTGCAATTGATGATAACATTGTCTCTTCTATAACATGTGATGGAATATTCAAAGTGCTTTTTGCAAGGCAATTGTTCAAATGAGATTGCATAAGTATCTTGATAATTCTTATTACTATAATAGGTTGAACAATAGTCTTCACGGTGTTATTTCTAGTAGCAACTGCATGACTACAAGAAATCTCATCATGCTGAAATCTTCCACAACTACACATTCGAGTATTTAGACATACAGTAAATCTTTTTGCACCATTTATAACTCTACGAAAATATTCTGTTGATGCGCATACCTTCATTTGAAACCATACTAAATTAGTAATTATAAAAAATTAACATTCTATATTAATTACACCAGAAAGTAGATATATATAAACACCATAAAAGTTGACGTTTATATATTTCAATTACACAAGAAAATACACTATCTAATATACAAATACATGAACTCAAAAACTAACACGTTAGTTGGTGTTTATACAACAAATCACATACACCATATAAAATACCAATAGATGAACCACATAAATAACAAGTTAGTTTGTGTTACATACATCACTTACACCAGAAAAATACACTATCAATTACACCAAAATTACATCCACTGTCTATTACATCAGAAAAATAAACTATCAACCACACCAAATCACACTATCTAATATACCAATATATGGACCAAAAAATGAATACATTAGTTGGTGTTTACATACGTCAATTACACCAGAAAATACACTATCTAATATATCAATAGATGAACCAAAAAAATAACACGTTATTTGGTTATTATATACAACATAAAATATATAAATACACCAGATCATAAACCAAAAAATAATAACAAAATTTGGTGTTGATTAACAGTCTATATACACTATCAATTGCATCAAGTCAGCTACAACAAATACAATATCAATTACACCTAATCATCTACTAAAAAAGTACTCACAAAATTTTGGCATTAATACACCAATTTTGTCAATACACCAACAACAAATATAATATCAATTTTACCAATTAATACACAAATAAAATCACGAATTTCATTTTATAATCAATTAATACCATCACAATACACCAAAACAAATACAAACAGATTATAACAACGTAACTTACAATATCAATACACAATCATATACAATTATAATTTGGAAATTGGGACCTGACTATAATTATTAACAAAGTAATTAAACCTCCTAATCAACCCAAATTGGTTTTGTTCAGTGACATAAAATAC